CACCGCACACCGCATACCGCACACCGCATGCACACACCTGCTGGCTCTCCTCGTCGACGCTGCTGTTGTTGCGCAGGGTGATGGTTCCCTTGCCCGTGTCGCCAGATGCAGTGAACTGGACGCCCTCCTTGGTCACAGAGACTTGCACTGTCTCGCCGATAGTGCTGAGATCACGGCAAATACCGTGGAATTCTGATGCAGGCATCTTCACGGTCGCTGTGTGCTCGCGTTCCTGAATGTATGTGTATGTGTAAGTGAGCGAGTGTGTGAGTGTGTGAGTGTGTGAGTGTGTGAGTGTGTGGGTGTATGTGTGTGTATGTGTGGGTGTATGTGGGTGAGTGGCAGGAGAGAGAAAGAGAAGGAAAAGATGAAGAGCAGAACAGCAAGCAGCAGCAACACGAAAGCCACAAGAGGCATGTGCGACATGAAAGCAAAACGTACCGGAATGCCAAGGTGCTCGCTGTCAATGTCCATGAGCTTCATCTCAAACTCCGACACCTTCTCCTGGTCTGCGCTCTCAAACGTGAACACGACCGTGTCGCCTTCGTCCTCGGCCCTCAACGTGACTGCGTCGTTGTTGTTGGCGCACTTCATAATCTTGGTCATGCTGGCAATGTTGATGCCGAGGGAAATGGGGCGATCGCACCGGTACATGTCGAAACCGTCCTTGCGCATCAGCAGGGACACCAACGACACGTGCGAACTGTCCATGGCCTGCAGAGAGATGCCAGCCCTGACAAAACGAAACCCCGCACATCAACCACAAACAACAACAGCAGCAGCAGCAGCAACATATGAGACCATCATCAACAGCAACAGAGGCTTGTGGTAAGTGGGCTGTGCTTGGAAATCGAAGCGTGCTGGTGGTTATGCCGCACAACACCATCGCCGCCACATGCAAACCAAAGGCACTTGGTTGCAAGCAAGTCACGCACGCACACACATACGCGCGCACACACACACACACACACACAAACGCACACAAACACACCACACACAAGCACACACACAAGTACACGCGCACAGAGCACACACAGAGCACACACACACAAGTACACGCGCACAGAGCACACACACACACAAAGCACACACACAGAGAGCACACACACACACACAGAGCACACACACACAGAGCACAGCACACAGACACATAACATGCAACGCGTACGAGGTGCAGTCCCAGTTGGCGTCTGTAACAAGGTCCTTAACGGCCTCAAGCACCTTCTTGAGAAGGGCGGCCTGTGCCATGCGTGCCTCAAACATCTTTGCTTCTTGAGTGGCGTGCGGGTGTGGATGAGTGTATGAGTGTGTGGGTGGTCGTCAAACAGACAGTCGCTGGGGATAGCAGCTGTGGGCGATGTGTTGGGTGGGGAAAGTGAACAACAGTGGAGTGGAGTGCAGTTGGCGCAGACGTGTTTGGTTGGCGGTGTGCGGGAACTTTTGAGCGCGAAACTGGCTTTGGCGCCAAAACCAACAACGCAGCGCAGCAGCTGACGCAAGTCAAATTTGCCCAGAGGCAGCAAGACTTCCAACCGCTATCCACCACCACTCACAGCTAAATGCGTCTTCCAAGGCAAAGTTTGCCTTCCTCCAAAACTCCAGCCAGCGTGCAGTGAGCACGCCGCCGCCGCCGCCGCCACTGGCCGTGCACGGCATTCATGCATTTTTCTTCTCCAACACACCACGCACACCAACCACCACACCCTTGATGACAATGGCTCGCACGATGGCTTTGCTTGCTGTGGCCACGCTGCTGATGGCGGCGTGCGCTGTGAACGGCCTGCACCGCGTTCCTCTCACGGGCATGCCCCGCTCCCGTGACACGCTGCGCAACGCCGGCGCCGCTCTGCTGAACAAGTACTCCCTCGGCAACGGCACCAACGTCCCCATCTACAACTTTGAGGACGCCCAGTACTATGGCGAGATTACCATTGGCACCCCTCCCCAGCGCTTCAAGGTTGTCTTCGACACCGGTACGTGCTGTGTACCTATGTGTGTGTGTGTGTGTGTGTGTGTGTGTGTGTGTGATCTGTTTTCCTCTGTGTGTGTGATCTGTTTGTTCCTCTCTTGTGCGCTTCGTCTTCTTCTTCTTCTTCTTCTCTATTCGTTTCCTCTCTCCTGTCCTCTTCTCCTCCTCCCCCCCCCGGTCGTGCCTGACGGCTGATTCCTGGTGTGCTGATGTGAATACATGACCAGGTTCCTCCAACTTGTGGGTCCCCTCCAAGCAGTGCAAGTCTCTCGCCTGCGACCTGCACCACAAGTACGACTCCTCCCAGTCCTCCACCTACTTCCCCAACGGCACCAAGTTTGCCATCGAGTACGGCTCTGGCTCCCTGACGGGCTTCCTCTCCGGTGACAAGACATGCGTCGGCGACCTCTGCGTCGAGGTGCGTCTTGTGCACATGTGGGTGCGTGTGGACATGTGGGTGTGGGTGTTCTGGGAAAAGAGCGCTTGCTTCAAGTCGTGCGCACTGTGCGCTTTGTCTATTAAGGAGTGCCTTCTTCCTCTGGAGGTTACTTTGTGTTCCCTCGGACATAGCTGTCTGGTTCAACGCACACGCACGCACACACACATGCACGCACCCTCCAATGCTCCAATGCTCATTCCTGCGTCTCCCTCCACACCCCACACCCCCAATCGTGGTGTTTATTTGCTGGATTGTTTGACCATTGACTCCTTCGCAGAAGCAACTGTTCGCCGAGGCCACAAACGAGCCTGGTATCACCTTTGTTGCCGCCAAGTTTGACGGCATCCTGGGTATGGGCTTTGTCGAGATCTCCGTGGACCAGGTTGTCCCATACTGGTACAACCTCGTCAGCGCCGGCAAGGTGGAGAGCAACATGTACACCTTCTGGCTCAACCGCGTCCAGGGCGCCCCCTCTGGTGGCGAGCTCACCCTCGGTGGCTACGACCCCAAGCACATGTCTGGCCCCATCCAGTGGGTTCCTCTCACCCGCGACGGCTACTGGCAGTTTGCCATGGACTCGTGAGTATGATGAGGATGATGTGTGTTTTGTTGCGGGAGGCATACCGCGGATGTGTACGCGTGTGACGTGCTGGGTGCTGCTTTCGTGGTGAACGTGGTGAAACTGTCGTGTTTTGCAACCTGTCTCGGCTGCGAAGTGTCCTCAGTCTAACCTGCCACCGTCTTCGTGTGTGCCTGTGTCTGTATGTGTGCCCTTCCCTTCCCTTGCCTTCCCTTCGCACACTCACGCCAACCCGTGTTGTGTTTGGTGTGTGACCATGCTTCGCGCTCTCTCCTTCTCTCTACAGCCTTTCCGTGAACGGCGACAGCTACTGCAGCAACTGCCAGGCCATCGCTGACACCGGCACCTCCCTCCTTGCTGGCCCCACGGACGCCATCAAGAAGCTCAACAAGCAGATTGGCGCCATCCCCATCGCTCAGGGCGAGGTGAGCCTTGCGTGTCGTTGTTGTCGCTGGCTCTCGAGTGTTGCTACACCCTCTGCCCCACTCGAGGAGGGTTGCCGTTGCACTTATTTCCCTCGTTGCTCTGCCCAGCCCATGGTATTGTTTAGTTCTCACACAGTTCTTGTCACACACAACCTTCGCGCGCGTATGTGCACAGTACATGGTGGACTGCAAGAAGATCCCAACCATGCCCAACGTCGACATTGTCCTCAACGGCCAGAAGTTTACGCTGACCCCTCAGCAGTACGTTCTCCAGGTCTCTGCCCAGGGTCAAACTGAGTGCCTCAGCGGCTTCTTCGGCCTCGACGTGCCTCCTCCAGCTGGCCCCCTCTGGATTCTCGGCGACGTGTTCATCGGCGCCTACACCACTGTCTTCGACATGGGCAACAACCGCGTTGGCTTCGCCCCTTCTGCCTAAGCACACACGCTACAACTGTGAATGCCTCCATCAGAACCCCGACCCTCTCTCTCCTCTTTCCTTTCCCTTCATTCACAAACACACCACCAACGAATAACAACAGATACAATGCGAAATGAGTTGGGCAACCATTGACTGAAAGAAAGGAGGTGAGGAAACAAGTGGACAAACACAACAAACACGGGTGGGGTTAAGATGAGCAAGGGTGTGTCAACAAACAAGAACACAAGGAGAATGAACAAACACAGCAAGCTGCTGCCAAATCAACTCGGGCAGCACACTCAAACAAACACTAGACAAGTGCACACACAGTCAATGACGCTGCCAAGGCGACATGGGCAGAGTGTGCACGAACACAAACAATCTAAACAATGAGCAGCATGCATACATGCGCGCAGAGCAATGCTAGGCATGGCATGAATGCTTGCAGGCAAGCATACACAACAGACAACACTTCACAACACTACATGGCACGCGCACATGGCATCCGTCAAGCATGGCGAGCATGCACACACACACACATGGCACACAACTCACGTGTGTAGGGGAAGGAGGAGAGGAGAGGCAGTTGGCACACATGCATGCCAGCAGAGAGGAAGGAATGTTTGCCAACGGAAAACCACAAAGCAGGTGTTGTTGTTGTAAGTTCATGGTGGTGGTGCTGTTGTTGGAGACTTGTGTGTGTGTGTGTGTGTGCTGTGTGTGCTGTGTGTGCTGTGTGTTGTGTGGGAGATTGTCTTGGCAAGAGAGAGTTGTGTGTGTTTACTTGAGTTGTGAAGCAAACAAGGATGTAGGATGAATGAACACTCCAACAGAAAGAAACAGAGCAGAAGACAAGAATTGTCGACAACGCAAAGTGGTGACGTGGCAGTGTTTGTTGAGAGTTGTGTGGTTATGTGGTGTGTTATGCAAGAGCATGTAACACCGAGCAACCACACAAGGTAAACACTGCACGTGCAACAGGTTGGAGGGAAATCACGTGAACATTCCAGAACACAAGAGAGGTGAATGTGAATTTGTGGTGTCGTGAAGAATGGAGGTCAATGATATGACTCAGCAGACAGGACTTGCCTGTCAACACTCCCCCGCATTGACCTACCTCTCTGCTGCGTTGATGTTCTGAAACGTGATGAGCATGTGGATGATGTCAT